CAGATGAGAAGACGTCATAGTCCACAATCGATACGATTCGGAAACCACGAGGTCCGAAATTTCGACGAGACAAAAGTTGCGGTCGTGTTGGCAAGCTCATGCAAGCTCAAAACTAGCAGCAAGCCTTTCAATAGTTTGGGGCCCATCAACGACGGGCTTCTCACTACTTGGACCGATTCTGCCGCGGGTAGAAAGGTACCTGAACTACCGACAAACACCACAGGGCTTGCGGGAATAATGGCGCGGTGCCATGAAAGCCCGAGGCGTGAAGACAAGGAAGCATGAAGCTGTTTGAGACGTTCTAAATCGGTACAACTGCCCGACTTAGCCCTGCAGTATGTTTTGATGAGTTGTCACAGATCACGAACAAAAGAAATCGCTGAGCGCAAACATGTCAGAAGTCAAGTCGGGTGTCGGCACACAATCGGGAATTTGTGAAAAGAGGGGTGGGCGACGAGCATGGAGGTAGTGGCGGTGCTGGACGAGGTGGTTGGCGCGGGGTGGCTGCACGCCTTGGTGAAAGTTAAGGCGGTCGGTCAAATCTCAATACGTCGGTGTTGTTCCGGCATTGGCAGTCAGCAAAAGGCGCGACGCCTGAAGCATGATGGATGCGATAGAATTGGCACGGTGGCGTGAGCGTCTCTCGTGATCTGCCACGAGGTAATTTCCTTACGAACTGCTCATTAATCGATACGCGGACGGGCCAGAGATAGAACTGATCGTCTTGCATCATCGTTGCCTGTCGTTGCTTGTAACCGACCGCGCGGATGTCACCAAAGCTTGTCGCTTCGTGTCGGGTCCGGAGAACGCGGCACTGGTGATAGTGATGGCCCACCTTGTGGGCTAGAAGGATGGCCGGTGTGTGTGGGAATACGGGAGCGGCCAGGGTCTAAGAAGGCCCGCCGGAAACCATGGAAGCGTTGTCTGTGAGGGCGGCGTCAGCAGCGTGAGATTTTTGTTTGTTGACTGCTTGAGCGCTGCTGGGCGCAGGGTTTTCTTTGACCTTTGACGCAACACGCAGGTGCGTGTCTTGGTGTTGCCAGTGTGTTGGTCGCACCTTACCCCTGACGCAGGTTGTTCTGTCAGACTAGCCGGATCGGGCGAATCTGTGGGGTCGCTTGTTACCGCATCGGGCCAGATGGCTGCCAGGCGAGCCGTGGGCGCAATCTCTTCGACGCCAGCTGGCCAGCGCCTGAAGCTTATCTGGCGTTAGCGAAGGCTTGAGTTCTTCCGTCTGCTTGGTGACAGCGCGACAACGTTGTCAGGACGATCCTGCGTTGGCGGGTTAGGCCCTGAGTTCTGCGTGCCTTATCAATAGCGCCGCTGTTGCGTTCCACCTTTTACGAGGGCACATGTGGACGTTCAGCATCACCATCCCCACCACATCATCGGATCAGGCCCAGCGCATGCCGCTTGCCGTGCTCCCCTCTCGTCGTGTAATGCGAACCAATCCCTGCGCCCAGAAATAGAAGCTCGACGAGGCCAATCCCCGCGATGATCTTACCGCACAGCGATGGCATTGGCTGCGCTAGGGTGGAGATTGCCGCTCGTGCCCCTTAGGGCTGTCCTGAGCAATACCGTTATTGGTCGATGCGTCCAATGTGTGCCTGAATTTTCCTTTTCCAGTCGCAAAAGGCCGACGCGATGACTAGCATGGCTGAACGTCCTTCGTATACGCGGCATCGTCGTAGGTACTTGAATCTGGGCGCGCCCGCTGCTATCCTCCTCACCTCCATCGCTGTAGGCGCATCTCAAGTACCTGCCTTCAGCACTTCATTCTTTACCACCTCTCGGCCGCTGTCACTCGTTTCCAGCTGCCTTGACCCCATACAGCAAACCTCTAGTAATACTTAATTTGTTTTCGCTAGGTACGTACTTTCCTTGTGTTTTCGCTACCGCGCGGGGCTCCGCAGCCGCTTCCCAAAATACGTTGTTCTGCATGCTGGTGTTAGCCTTCTTTTTCGCTACACCAACCTCGCCATGCGACGACGTCCTACCCGCCCGCCAAAAACCAACTCCATAACCGTTGTGCCGCCGCCCCTGGACTTTCAATGCTATCCATTACCTACTTATACCCCTGCTATCCTCATTCTACAACGACATCGCGGATGACTACCCGGCCACATCTGTCGGCTTACACACTCTTTCTACCACACTCGTTTCTAACACCCTGCCTAGGTGAACCCTCATAATGAAGGCTTCTCTCTTCGGCCTCGGCGTCCTCGCCGGCCTGGCCAGCGCAAACATCAACTTCCTCTGGGTCAACCCCACATGCGACCACCTAGACCCCAACACCCTCTGCCTGACTGGCCAGCACTGCGACGAAACCGACTGCTGCGTACCTGACCTGAAGAGCGAGTACTCCAAGCTCGTCTCGCGCTCATCGCGCTCATCTCTTCGCGTTGTTCCCGCCAAGAGACAGGCTGCCAAGTACTCTCAGGACGGAAAGTGCGGCCCTGCGAACGGCAACCTCCTCTGCGACCCCAACAGCACTGTCTACAAGGGCACATGTTGCTCGCAGTACGGCTGGTGTGGAAGTACCGCCGCTCACTGCACACAGGGCTGCCTGTCTGGCTGTGACAACGGTGCCTCCACGCCCGCTCCCCAGCCTAGCAAGGCTACCACTTCAGGTGCTGCTAAGCCCAGGGACGACGGCAGGTGCGGAAAGGACTTTGGTGGCGCTACATGCGATGCCAACGGTGCTTACGGCGGCTGCTGCTCGTCTTACGGATACTGCGGTTCCACCGACGGTCACTGTCTCGCTGCCAATGGATGCCAGAACGGATGCAAGGGCGCCACTGCTACTCAACCCGCCAAGGGCAACCCAGCCCCTGTCAGCAGCCGTCCTCCCTCTACCACCACATCCGGCGAGCCAGTTCTTGGTAAGCCCTCGACTGCTCCCGCTTCCAAGCCCACCGGCGTCGCCACTACTGATGGCAGCTGCGGTGCCAAGTTCGGTAACACTGTCTGCGGCAACTGGGCCCAAGGTAGCTGCTGCTCCATGTACGGCTACTGTGGTAACACCACCTCTCACTGCGGTGAGGGTTGCCAGAACGGTCCCTGCCTTCGCGCTCCCTCCGTTCCTGCTCCTGCTGCCAGCCCTGCTCCTCGCGCCGCTAAGCCCGGTAGCATTCAGCTCAAGGGCCGCTCCGGTGTCCCTGCTATGCACGCTGGTCTCATGCCCAACGGCAAGGTTGTTTTCCTTGACAAGGTCGAGAACTACACTGAACTGAAGCTCGGCAACGGCCAGTACGCCTACTCTTCCGAGTGGGACCCCGTCACTGACAAGCTCACCCCCTTGGCCTACAAGACCAACGCCTTCTGCTCCGGTGGTATCTTCCTTGCTGACGGCCGCTTCGCTTCTCTCGGTGGTAACGCTCCTCTCGACTTCATTGACCCCACTGTCGGTGATGGTTTCAGGGGTATCCGTCTCCTCAAGCGCTCTTCCTCTGATGCTTCTCTCGATGGACAGGCCTGGAACGAGCCCGGTCCTCAGCTCGACACTCCCCGCTGGTACGCTTCCGTCCAGATCATGCCCGACGACTCCATCTTTGTCGCATCTGGATCCAAGAACGGTCTTGACCCCTCAAAGCCCGAGAACAACAACCCTACCTACGAGATGCTCAACGCCGACGGTTCTCCTCGCGGAGTGAGCAAGAACATGGAGATTCTCAGCAAGAACCAGCCCTACTACATGTACCCCTTCATGCACCTGATGAAGGACGGTAACCTGTTCGTCCAAGTCTCCAAGTCTGCCGAGATCTTCAAGGTCGAGACCGGAAGCGTCGTCCGCATGCTGCCCGACCTCCCCGGTTCCTACCGTACCTACCCCAACACCGGTGGATCCGTCATGCTCCCTCTCTCATCTGCCAACGACTACAACCCCGACATCGTCATCTGCGGTGGTGGCCCTTACCAAGACATCACTGCCCCTGCTGACCCATCCTGCGGCCGCATCAGGCCTCTCGATGCCGACCCAGAGTGGGAGATGGACTCCATGCCCGAGGGCCGTGGTATGGTTGAGGGAACTCTCCTCCCCGACGGTACCGTCGTCTGGGTCAACGGTGCTCAAGAGGGTGCTCAAGGTTTCGGTGTCGCCCAGGACCCTGCTCTCGAGGTCCTTCTGTACGACCCCAACCAGCCCAAGGGCAAGCGCTTCACCACTGGCCCTGCTTCCACCATCGCCCGTCTCTACCACTCTGTCGCTCTCCTCCTCCTCGACGGTACTCTCCTGATCTCCGGCTCCAACCCCGTTGAGCAGCCCATCCTCAAGCCCGACGCCAAGAACCCCTTCGTCACCGAGTTCCGCAACGAGATCTACACTCCCCCCTACCTCCAGGGCAACCCCACCCGTCCTTCGGCTGTCCAGATCTCCCAGAAGGAGCTCAAGGTCCAGCAGCAGTTCAACATCAAGTTCACTGCTCCTGCTAACGCTAAGAACGTCAAGATCTCGCTCTACTACGGTGGATTCGTTACCCACTCTGTCCACATGGGTCACCGCATGATCTTCCTCGACAACACCGGCTTCAAGGCCGGCGCCACCGCCCAGAGCTTGACCGTCACCATGCCTCCTAACAAGGCTGTTGCCCCTGCCGGTCCTTACGTCATCTACGTTGTCGTTGATGGTGTTCCCGCTATGGGACAGTTTGTTCACGTTTCGTAGAATGGGTCTGTGAATGAGAATTGGATGAGACGAAAGATGTAGCTGATTGCGATAATATTCCTTGTATCATCCTTGAATTGAGTGGTTTATTTTCGCATTCGTGCATGTGTTATGGTGGATGGCTATTGATTAATTAGCGATGCATGTCCTATAGAAATTAAAGAATTGTCATGATATCACTTGTTGCCTACGTTGATGTTTTGTGTTGTGTGAAGTTCATTAGGTGACACTGAGATGCCTACATACAATCGTGATGGTGATATCTCACACCGTCCTACGCCCTTGTCGTCCCCAGGCATACATATGAGCCTGACGCTCACACACCCAAACCCCCAACTTAGCCGTCCAGCTCCCCCTCATCCTCACTCTCGACCCTCGCCCTCTTACTGTAGTCCGCAAGCGGACTCGCGCCCTTGCGCTTACGACCCACGACGACGTTGTCGGCCTTCAGGCCCCCCTCACCCTTCTTCTCCCCACCACCACCACTCTTCTTCTCACCACCCCCCTCCTTCCATCCCTTCTCCTTCCGGCCGCCACCCCCCTTCTTCCCCCCCATCCAATCCACAGCATCAACAGTCATACTGCCATGATACATATCTCTCAAGTCCCTCGGGACGTGAACGCGGGCATCACCGATGATCTCCCACATCCACGCCATGGACTCCCGCATCTTGGGTGCTTCCCGTCTCATCTCGCTCAGGGCGTCTTCCATGACCGCCACCCGGTTCTTGAGGGCCTTGATCGTGGCCTTGGCGTCGGCGGTGGCGGTGGGGTCGGGCGGGGCGGAGACGGTACCGGCGGTGGCGGTGACGGCGTCGGCCATGGTGGTGTTTGAGGACGACGATGGCGTGGTAGATGTAGTCACGACGGGAACGGGGAAGTGTGTAGGCACTACAACACTTTTCTTGACGCTCTCCAACTACAAACGAAGACATGTAGTCAGTAAACATATCCCATCCATTCCGTTCCAGACAGTGCCAACAAACCTCCTTCCTCAACTCCGCATTCTTGCGGCAGACACGGTACGCTTCCTCGGCAATCTCCTGCGGAGAAGCGTAGTTGTCGAGGCGGGCGCGGATGCGCTGGGTATCGGGGTCGTACTCCATTGGTACTGAGGAGCGGAGTTTGCGGGTGTAGGGTAGCGATTTCTTGATGTACTGCTTGAGTTTGTTTTGGGTGAGGCCGCTGCGGGTGCGACGACGGCTGGGCATGTACTGATGGAGTGTGTTAGGATTGTGGGCAGGGGATCACAGTAGAGGGCAGCAGAAGAGGTTCGGCTTGTGTGAGGTGTTGCGAGGATGGAGGAGCGCGAGCAAGAGTTGTAATATTAGGCTGCGAGTAGAGATTTTTGTTAGTGCGTTTGCGCGTTTGCATTGGGCTGGTTTTCACTTTCACTTTCACTGGAACGTGGTGGAAGTTCAGTGTTGACGTCAGAGTGTAGGTGGGCGGGCGCGATAGGAGATGGATGTGCAGAGACCGAACATCAGACCGCCTCAGGAGACGGTGAGACGGGGTTGATTCTGGGCCTCTTATAGCTACTCAGTCAATGGTTCATTGCCAGGCCTCTCCGCCGGTTCCTTCTTCTCTGGCTTCTCCATACGCCTCCATAAACCCAGGAAGCCACCTCCGACAACCATTTGGCCAGCTTTTGGTCGGCACACCATGACCCATTTCTCCTCCTGTTTGCTCAGATCTTCTTTTAGCTCGTTATCCCGTCCTTCTTGGCCTGATTCCGAGTCTGCGCTTTCATCGCTCGAAGGCTCGGAAGGTTGCTCTGGCTGAGCCTTCTTCATGGGCGCTCTCGGTCTGACTGCGCGAACATCCCACTCGCGGATTGTGCCTGCTCCTAGCTCAATGACCTGGTCAAGGAGGTAGGGCATCTTATGTTCCCGAATAGCTTCGACACATTCAGCGATCTGGGTGATGCTTGGGTTGAAGACAGCGAGCATGCCATTGACGTGCAACGCAGGAGCGACATTGGCGAGGTGGCTTGTCGCATTGGGAAGATCCAGAAACACGTGAGTCAGGAATGGCTCCTCGGTCTTTCTCGAAGCTCGCTGTTTGGCGATCCACTCAGACACGTCTCCTACGTGGAAGTCGACGTTGCCCGCGTACATGCCATGTCGGAACCCTTCGACTATCTTCTTCGCATGTACTGAATGCTTGCTGGATATATCCAGAGTATGTATGATAGCGCGACGGTTCTGCTTCCATGACGACAGTGCTGATTCCTGTAGGTCTGATATGGACTCGCCGAGGTATACCGCGTCTTCTGGTTCTTCTTGGGTATTGACATAGGACGGCGTTCTTGGAACTGGAGGGTTGCCGGCATGTACAGCGCGAGAGAGATGCAGCGTCAGCGCTCCATGGCCTGTGCCGGCTTCGAGGATCTCAAGAGGTGGTTCGGTGCTGGGGGTAGCGGACGGAGTATCGACGTGGATGTCGAGTAGGGACACTATGAGGTTGGTATCTGAAGGGTAGATCTGTATTATGTTAGCATGAGTCTTCTGTCTCGTCGTGGCATGGCATACGCACTGGAGTAACAAGGCGCGGTGTCAATCTGACATATTCGGCCAAGGTAGGCTCATAGACGCGAAAGGTGTCGCCCTTGTGGGAACGGACAATTTGCCGTGGCTCCTTTCCAATAACATCCGCATGCTTGACGACGCCTCGGTGTGTGCCAATGGTCTTGGACGCCTGCAATTTCACGAGGCGCCCATCTTGCGTCTCTTTGCTCTCGCGCAAGAGCACAACATCGCCTTCTATGCGCCTGTGAGCTGGGTCGGAGTGGTGGAGGCGGAGGTCTTGCCTTGGAAAGCGCGATGGAGGCAGGAGCTACTGGTGAAGTGTCGCGCACGCGGTCGGAGTGCAGCACGGCGTAGCTGGTGGAGAGAAGATGGTCGCATGGCTTTGTAAGAAGAAAGATGTCAGATGCGGAGGTGACGCCTTCTCCGCAGCAAGCGAGCCGCGACCGCAGGAGGGCACCGAGTATGCTCTGCAGGCGTGGGAATGCAGTAGATCTTACATAGATAACTGAGTCCTTTTCACGTAGCTTCTGCCTCTGCTACGTCGTATATCAGTATATCAGTATATCAGTATATCTACTCTACTGTACTGCATAATGCACAACGTCACAGCGGTGATTCTAATCCCTGCATCGCCATTGACGATCCGAGACTCCAGGGTTCGGCCAAGAACAACATGGAGCACCTGCACACTTCCAACGCATGCGCCTCGCCCAACACGCTTGACTTCACACCCTCAGCAAACGATTCAATGTCATGGAGATGAGCTCGCGTTGCTGCGAAAGACACATATCCTAAACCCGACGCTGGCTCTATGCGCCACTACTCACACCTTCGGGAGCCTCCACCATGACGCGCCGCATAGTACGCACAGCATAACCCTTCTCCCGGCAGCACTAACAGTCCCAGGTACGGACGGGCATCCAGCTCATAGCCCTCACCATCGTCGTCTCCCTAACCATATTCTTCCTCGATAACCGCTACCGCGTCCTCCCCCAATCCGTCCACAGTCACATGCCACTGCACCACGATGGCCTCGTTATCACCGATATCACCGTACAGACATGTTCGACCATCAATCCCCTCTCCAAGTGCATGCTGGACCAGAAGAAGTGGCATCGTATAGAGAAGGACCTGTACCTCGGCTCCGGCTGGGTCACCAAAGGATACGTCCACATCAAGCGCAAGCGGGAGGAGGAGCTCAAGACAGAGGACAAAGTTATCATCGACGTTCGCACAGGCAAGCTTGATCCCTCTGTGGGGGAGAAGGCCCAGGCGTCGGAGAAGTGGGAGTCGCGCCCAGCTGGCCTCTGGATCAAGAGGTCGCTGAAGCGTCACGCGAGTGACGACAAGAAGGCAGTGACAGCCGTTGATATACTTTTCGGCGCCGATGCAGTAGAGCCACGCCCTGGCTGGGAGCTGGTCAAGAACGGAGCCCTGCATCTTGAGACGGGCAAAGCAAGCACAGATCCTCGCCTGAGCATACGAAGAGGCCCAGCAGCCAAGCTCGAGAAGCCCGTACCCAAGATCAGAAAGGACGGCAAATTCAAGATTATGCAGATCTCCGACCTGCATCTCAGCACTGGTCTCGGCCACTGCAGAGACGCAGAGCCGCCAGGCCACAACGGCGGACACTGTGACGCCGACCCCAGGACTATAGAGTTTGTGGAGAGGGTGCTAGACGATGAAAAGCCAGACTTTGTAGTTCTGTCTGGCGATCAGGTCAACGGCGATACAGCACCCGATGTGCAGAGCGTAGGGCACCTCCCATCCTTTACATGACACAAAGCTAACCATCTCACAGGCCATGTTCAAGATAGTCGAACCCCTCGCAGAGCGCAAGATACCGTACGCAGCCATCTTCGGCAACCACGACGACGAAGGCACCCTCTCCCGCCACGCACAAATGGACCTCTACGACTCGCTCCCCTACTCCGTCAGCGAACCCGGTCCAAACACCATCGACGGCGTAGGAAACTACTTCGTCGAGATCCAAGCCCACAGCAGCAAGCACTCCGCCCTAACCCTCTGGTTCCTCGACACACACGCCTACTCGCCAGACGAAACCCACTACCGGGGCTACGACTGGCTCAAGCCCAACCAAATCGACTGGTTCAAAGCCACCGCCGGCGGCCTAAAAGAAGCACACAGCCACTACACGCACAAACACCTCAACATGGCCTTCATCCACATCCCCCTCCCTGAATACGGCAACCCAGACAACGACCGCGTGGGAAACTGGACCGAACCCATCACCGCACCTGCTTTCAACACGCACTTCAAAGACGCCCTCGTCGAATACGACATCAAAGCCGTCTCCTGCGGCCACGACCACGTAAACGACTACTGCGCCCTTTCCAAAGAACCCGAGACTGGTGATCCAGAACTCTGGATGTGCTATGCAGGTGGTAGTGGCTTTGGTGGCTACGGGGGTTACAACCACTTCCACAGGAGGTTAAGGGTGTTTGAGATCGATACGAATCAGGCGCGCATTGTGACGTGGAAGAGGTTGGAATATGGGGATACGGGGAAGAGGCTTGATACGCAGATTATTGTCGATTCGGGGAATGTTATGCCGATACAGGTTGCGAATCAGGAGTGAGATGGGGGAAAGTGGTTGTTGCACGTTATGGCGTTTGGGTGTAGGGGTATGGATGGAAGGAAAATCACCGCTTTTATGTTTGGGATTAGCGTTGAGATGTGTACGGGATACGTCAAGACGGCTTGTTAGTCTTCAATTGAAAGTTCAAATCCATTTGTGTAATCATTCCGTGGGAATGCGTGTGTGCTTCTGTCTACCTCGTATGACTGTGTTTTTGGCTAAAGTAACAGTACTGTATTCTTCTTTTCATTTCTCATTCAATACTCCCATCTATACATCATCCCTCAGATGAACGTCCTCATAAACTCTCCCAATGCCATGATAGCCATAGCCTGCCCATACGGCATACTCGTAATCTTGATATCCTTATAATGCTGCAAATCATGCCCCATACCCGTTCCAAAACTCGTCTCCGTCAGCTCACCCTCCGCACTAATCTTGCCCATCACAGCCTTGATAGCCTTAACCGCGCTCTGCAGATACACATCCCCACTAATATACCTCTTCCGACACGCCTTGAGCATGCCATACGCAAAGCCTGCCGTAGCAGACGCCTCCTCATAGCTACCTTCCGACACGGGGATATCGAGAAGAGTGCGCCACATGCCGTTCTTGCCCTGCAGTTTAAGCAGCGCCTGGCATTGCGACTCGAGGATACCGATGAGGAACTGGCGTAGCGGATCCGTCTCCTTGAGATCAAGCAGTTCAATGAAATCCGGAATCGCAATCGTCAACCACGAGTTTCCACGCGCCCACCGTGCGCGCGCAAAGTTATGTCCGACTTCCAAGCCGCCCTTGTCTTCCCACTTCCAGCCGTGGAAGAAGAGGCCTGTGGATGTGTCGCAGAGGTACTGGCAATGCAGGATGAATTGGCGCTTTGCTTCCTCGACGTATTCCGGTCGGTTGAGTACCAGACCAATCTTAGCGAGGGGCAGCGCGCTCATCATGAGGGTATCGTCCCAGAGTTCGTCTTTGTTGAACGAGTTGTATGTCTCGTGTTGGAAGCCGCCGAATTTGGTGCGGGGCAGACCGTGCATCACCCATTCTGCCCATGTATCTAGCCAAGGGACGAAGGTCTTGTTTC